GGCTTTAGGGTTTTAGGGGCTTCAGGGGCTTCAGGGTTTGGGGTTGAGGGCTCCGGGTTTAGGGTTTAGGGTTCCGGGTTTAGGGTTTGGCGTTTTTTAGGGTTTCGGGTTTGGGGTTGAGGGTTGAGGGTTCAGGGTTGTAGGGGACTCTGGGTGTGTTGGAGGTTTATGGTACGTACATGATGTAAGCTGTAGGATTCAGGGTTGAGAGTTTCTTCCGGGGTTTGGCGTCAAGCAAAGGCTTCGCGCCGAAAGGAAACATCAGAAACTTCAGCACCCAAACTCAATGCCTCCAGCCATCGAACTATACTGAGATCCCCATGCAACCCTAAACCCTAAAGCCCGAAAGGGCTAAAAGTGAAACCCTAAACCAAAGAGAGGTAGCTCGAAGCCTTCCTTCAAGGAATTCCCGGACCAGAAGCCCGGAGCAGCGAATCCACTAACGTAGTTCACACAACTGGTGAACAGTGATGTAGGGGCCTTACTAATTGGAAGAAGGTCTTGGGGCCCATTATACTATAAATATAACAAGGAGCCCCCAAAATAGTATTGGTAAGTTTTTTTGGCCCCCACAGTATTCCTCAGACATCGCCCAAAAGAGTGCTCTTGCAGCACCGCAACCTTCCAGGCTTCTCATCGTGACCTTCTTGCTGCAAACCTCGAAGTAATAAGCCTTCAACCCCGCACTCCCAACCTGATATAGGCGCCTTAACCATTAGAATAGGGTTGTGGGGTATCTTGAAATAGATGTGTGTATATATATATAGAGAGAAAGAGGTATATATGTAATAAGGAAGCCCCATAATCTAGGTAATTACATACTAAGGCCCCTATATCAAACCCTAACCCCCAAGAAAACGAAACGCATCTCAGGGCGCCTGCAGGAGTCTGCCTTGGCAGCTTCCCTTCGCAGCTGTGCCTTGCCATGGAGCTATCTGCAAAGAAGGCTTCGGGTTTAGGGTTTAGGGTTTAGGGTTTAGGGTTTAGGCCTCCCTAAGGATGGTGGAGGGCCAGGCTGGAGCGAAGAAGGCTCACAACTCGCAGGTTCTACCTCAATCCTAAAGCCCGAGGGTCCAAAGTTCCGTCACCTACTCAGCAGAGGATCATGGGTTGACGGTTCCATGGAATGGCTCCACCTGGACCCCAACCACCCTGTTCTACCCACTAACTGTCAACTATAAACAACTTTCAAGGACGCTTGGGCCCCGTGGCACGGTGTTGGGTTTCGAAGTCGGGGGTTAAGGGTTTAGGATTTCAGGCTTCAAGAGCAACTGGAGGCAGGTCCCAAAAAGATGTTCAAGACGGTTTAGGGTTTAGGGTTCAATACCCGACTGCTGCCATACCCAGATCTTTATTGACAGTAGTCAAGTCGGCATCGTGTAGCAAAGAATTGCGGCTGTGATTGCTAATAACTACCACTTCATGTAACTCATGTATTGCAGGTGCGATTGCTAGTTCTTGTTCGCAGTTCCATTGCAGACAGGGCAGCTGTTCTTTTACAGAAGTGCATTCGGTGGTTTGTTGTATCATCATGATGAAATCAAGAAAGAGGATGACACTCGACACGCTACTTCCCACATTCTGGGGCTGTCACGGTCAAACTATCCGGCAACCATTCTGGTAATCGCTACTTCTCATGTTCACCACAAGTACTTCCTAAGCCTGCAAATGTGGTGTTCTGATGTTTCCCAAAGGATACCAAGGTTGCCGAAGCCCCACGCCACCACCCCACATCTACAGATGCTTTTCTTTCCCCCTCGGATCTGGCGCGTTGCCTTTGCCCCTCGTATACAGTCTTCATGTCCCGCTGCCAGGACAGAAACATCGTGATGCAAGGCTTGTCTGGGATGCAGTGGATAGGTGTCAAGGATGCTGTGAACTTATGTGGGCTTCGGAAGCTGATTGTGGGATGTATGTGCTGCAGCAGAGGAAGTAGTGGGAGTGAAAGTCCACTTTCAAGCCTGCCTGCTGATTGCTAGCAGTGGCGGTAGACCCAGACAAAGCTATGGCACTTGTAATGTGCGAGCACAAAGTGTGCCAAAGTCACAGAGACTCAGAACAAGCTTTCAGGTCACCCTACCGAAATATGCAAAATATGTTCTGCATGTATACATATATATATATATATGTGTACACATACACATATACACATACAGCTGTGTGTATATAGATATTAAAGAACTAAATATGAAGATGTCGGTGCTCATCAGGCAAACGACCGGAACATCGAATTCTGAGTCCTAGTCGAGCGAAATGATCTGGACTGGCGCTCTTCGCCGTCGCTTTGGCTTTGAGGCCGAAGCCTCCATCAGCAAGCCTCGGCTGTCGGAGTTTTGCAAATTCGGCTAGAAGTGCAGAGCTCCAGGGTTCTTGGGTTTAGACTGGGTGTCGGAAGGTTTAGGGTTTAGGGTTTAGGGTTTAGGGCTTTAGGGGTTTAGGGGTTTAGGGGTTTAGGGTTTAGGGTTTAGGGTTTAGGGTTTAGGGTTTGTTTCTGGTGCAGGCTCGCGAAAAACGATACGCATAACGTAGGAACACTCACAGGATGCATTCGGAAACCCTCAACTACCAAGTCTCGATACAGCGAACCCTACTACCAATGATTCAGGCCCGAAACCCTATACCTTACCCGGACCCCAAAAGTATGTAAAACACTAGCCTTTATGGGTCTTGGGACATTATATTACCTACCTTTTGGCGGTTTAAGTTTAAGTAAAGCCTTCGGATGCATCCCAGGATCGTGCAACTTCAACCTGCCCGGCTTCCCGAGCCGTCGCCAGCGCCGTAGCACTGCGCGTCGACGACGGCGTGCGACACACAAGGTCCTCGGGCTTCAGGCTTTTCAAATGTCTGAACGGCAGAAAGGGCTCTTACAAGGTTCTATGGCATTCTATGGGTCGTGTATAGGGCCTTCCTTGCATTCACCGCTTAGGAGTTGGTGATGAGCAATTTTCGAACACCACAAACAAAACTTCAGCAAACAAGCTGATATAGAATCACCAAGCCCGAGCATCGAGGTCCGCCCTACTGTCGATAAGAGCGGATACGATCCGGACGTGGCCTTGCACGCTCGCAATATGTAAAGGTGTCACGCCGTCCATGGCGGCTGCATTCGCAAGGGTACCGTCCACCATGGCGAGAAAGCAGGCGATATCCGCGGCCCCGTGCATGCAAGCTACGTGCAAAGCTGTCAGACCTTCATCTTTCAGCGCTTTGGTCACATCGGCATTAGACTCCACTAGCCATTGCACCAGCTCCAGATGTCCAAATGAAGTCGCTGCTAGAATTGGTGTCTGCCCTGCTTCTGCAGCTGCGTCTATGTCAGCGCCAGCTGCAGCCAAGCAGTGTGCAATCTCCAGGTGTCCATGCGTACATGCCAGATGTAAGGGAGTTACGCCACCCGCGGCTGCCTTCGTTGCGTCTGCAGTGGACTTCAGCAGCCAGCGAGCCGTCGTAAGGTGACCCCTTGCAGACGACCAGTGCAGCGGTGTGCTTTGAGAGAGAGCCTCATCGGCTCGGTTTAAGTCAGCTCTGGCTTCAAAGAGCAACTTGGCAGATCTGAGACTGCCATAATCAGCAGCCAGTGACAAGCCTGCCTTACCTTGCAGGAGAGTCATATCCGGATCATGAGGCTGCTGGAGGAATTCCTCCACAACCTGCGAATTATCGCTTGCAATTGCCTCACAGAAAGTTTTTACATGGTGTGGGGTCGGAGTGCAATAGGTCAATATGATCAGATCCAAGCACATCGGCACACTCAGTTGAGCATCATCCCGTAAGATGGACCCTTCCTTCAATAGCCGCTGCTTAAATCGCCGGTGACCTGTCAAGAGCTCTAAATGCTCTTTCAGTGCCCCCACGCAGCTTCCCCAAGCTGCGGCGAGGTCCTCTACCTCTTCCGGGCAAAGTGTCGCGATTTCCGCCCCGGAAGCCATCATCGACACGCGCAGCATGATGTCAGACACGGAGGATAAAACCCTACACCCTACGCCCGAAGCCGTGAGACCCATGGCCCAACCCAGTACACTTCACCCCATGTTGTGAAGAGGTTAGAGTGCCCCCAATCCTAAACCCTAAACCTGGCTCCTAAGGGGCTGTGAGGGAATCGCATTGGCGGGAGTGCACCTCGTTGGCCATGCGGCCTAAACGACAGTTGCCTGTGCTACTATGCGTCAGGGAGAGCGATCCAAGTGCGATAACTTCAGAAAGTGCATGGATTCGAAAACTGCCCTTTTGACAGGCTCCTCATGAAAGCCGATTACACTAGGTGCCGTGACGTCAGCGCTAGCTCAGTGGGAGTCTGAACATGTCTGTCTCTCCTCTGGCATAGCTGTTCTACATGAAGCCCCAGAGCCATGCTGGCAGCAGCAGGGGCAGGGCTTTGTCGAGGCTCTGGTGGGTTGTCATTGTAACTTAGAGCAACATAGACCAGAGCAAGGATACTGGGAATTGGGAATGATGCACCGCTAGTATTCAGAGGCCTTAGAATTGAGCTCAACAGGAGACAGCAAGTAACACGGGGTAAAACGAACAACAACACAGCATAGCAGAGCCGGGTCACACATGGAGATTTCGTGAAGCTTCCCAGCACATAAACCGTGGTCTGTGCCAATACTTAACCCAGATGCTCTCATTCACTCCAAACCCCAGGAAATTCTGAACCTTCCGTCAGCTCCCTTCCGAACCGACTTAGCATAGAAGCCTGAACAAGTAGTAGCGCGTTTCTTTCAGAGTTCCTTACCATCTGATTATAGCCTTAACTCCCCAAATCCCTATTCTCGTTGCTAAGGCGGTTAAGGCCCCTATACTAGAGCTTCGCTCTTCGAGCGAACCTGCAGTCGATCGCGGTGGTCGCAAGTTTCGCGAAGGGCCTGTGCGGAACAGCATGAGCACAGGTGTTCGGATGCGTTCGGGAGCTAATTTGAAAAAACACTTAGGACCTAAAGTCATGATACCCTGGCCATGCCATGATAGAACCCTACTTCCAGTAGCCTTTTTCTTCCCTGATAGAATCCTTTTCTGGAACATTCATGCGACAAAAAAACGCTAGGAGCTTTGGCTAATGTAGGAACCTGACGAAGAAACCCTGGCCTTATAACCCCAATATATTTGAGTTCATATTATCAAGGCCCAGGGTTTCTTAATCAGGTTCCTATATTACAGGTCTGGGATTTCCGACCTTAGCCAGGGCTTCCAGCCCTCCTATCCGAAGCGCAAACCCTAAAGCTACTGATGATGATGTATGTTCCTGCATTACCTTAAGGACCCTAAACTATGGGAAGTATGGTATATTCCTTATGAAGGGTAATGCAGGATTTATATCATTCAACAGTAGGGTTTAGGATTTAGGGTTTCAGATGGCTTAGGGTGAATATAGGGGCCTAAATAATTATTTATACTATTTTGAGGGTTGGTATAATTACTTTATAATGGGGCCCCAAAACCCTGTTCTAACTATTAAGGCCCCTATATTGCGCCCTAAACCCCAATTCGCTTCCAGAAAGCCTTCCTAACCCCAAAGAACGGAAGGCCACAAAGATGGATCTTGCGGATTAGGGTTTAGGGTTTAGGGTTTATAGGGTTTTTTTCTAAGTGTAATGCGCCGCTTTGCTCTGGCGTTTATAGGGTTTAGGGTTTAGGGTTTCTAGGTAGCGATACCAGAGATTTCCGGCTTTGGGCTTCGACTTGATGAGCTTAAGGCCCAGGTCTGGCGGGTTCGAGTTTGGAGGGTCTGGTCGGGGTCTCCGAAATGGGAGTTTCCGAAAATTAGGGTACCGTATTTGGGGAGCCTTATAATAAGGATCCTACTATTTCGGGTACTATAATAGAGTCCCCTATTTTCGGAAACCCCCAAACGGAAGGGATCCCTAAGATGTCTGGACAATGGAGAGGCTCGTACTTGAGGATCTGAACTAGGGACCCGTTTCATCTCGCGACCTGCACTTATGCACCCAACACACGAGATGCTCTTGAAGTTAATGTATACTGTGAGTCTTTTTGTTTAGGGTTCGGGGTGGGGCTGTGACTCAGGGCCCTCAGCCCAAACACGCACTCTCTCCTTCAGTGCCTCAGATTGCTGCGTTAATGATTCGGATAGGGCTTCGAAGCTACACTGCAATATAGTTCTATCGGCAACACAAGAGAGTCTTCTCGCTACGCAGTACGACCTCTACATCGAAGCTTCTGGGGGTGGGTTCTGGGGAACTTTTATCATCTCTTGTATAAATTATACAACTGCACCTGGACGGAACAAATGCCTGGTCATGTGGCATTAAACTAATTAGGAGTCGAATCTGTTCACAATAAACTTTTGGAAAAGATTCGAATAGGGATTTTGAGTACATACGACTTCTCAATATTCCGAACCCGATATACACATACATAAAGTACATATACATATACATACATACACATAGATGCATACTTGGGGCTATCTTGGATTAAGGTCCTCTTTGAACGGGAGTTTTTCTTGAGCATGGAGCTGTACTGTAGAGTATTAGAGCATTGAGGCTTAGTCATGGCTTCGGTCCGATTCGGGCATTTAGGGTTTAGGGTTTAGGGTGTTGGGTTTAGGGTGTTAGGGTTTGGGGTTTAGTGTTTAGGGTTTAGGGTGTTAGGGTTTGGGGTTTAGGGTTTAGGGTTTAGGGTGCTGCAGAACAATCCCCATCTGGTGCCTCCCGATCAACCTTCTGGTCTCGTTGCAGCTCGCGTACCAGATCCTTCTGCACAAGATCTGTGTGGAAGATAGAATATAGGGGCCTTAATAATTAGAATAGGGCTCTGGGCGGTTCTGGGCTACTTTATCATAGTATATTTAGAATAAGGAACCCTAAGAATAATGGTGGTAATGATTGAGGCTTCTACAGTATTTTCAACGCATACCAAAACCCTACACCCTAAAGGATTAACGTTCAGGCCTTGTGCATGGACGCTTCCGGGTTGCCAGTGAGGCATATGCAGACTATAAGGGGGATAATCAGGATACTATAATTAGTATAAGGGTCACTGTAGGGGCCTGAATAATTACCAATACTATTTCGGTGGTTCCGTATTATAAATATGGTATAACAGGCCCCAAAATCCTATTCTAATTAGTAAGGCCCCTATATTACCATGATGCTCTAAGGATCCGAGCCCGAAGCGCTTATCAGATGCCGGTTGCCCCCAGTACAACTGCATCCCTCCTAACCCCGAAACCCTCTGCAACACTAAAGCGAAATGCGCGAAACTCGAAGCCCCATGTCCCATCCTAAGCCCAAACCCTCTAAAGCCCGAACCAAAGATGCTCACTTACTCACTTAACCCCAAACCCTAACACCCTAAACCCTAACACCCTAAACCCTAAACACTAAACCCCAAACCCTAAACCCTAAACCCAACACCCTAAACCCTAAACCCTAAACCAATTCTGCGAGCGCTGCAGCAGACTGCAAGGCTTTCCCTGCTTGGCCCGCGTT